TTCGATGCTTAATAAATCCAAATTACTTAAGCGTTCCTGCTTCCCCGCCCTGTTCCATCACTGACTTTTTGACTCTTATCCGTTTATATCTCTATTCAAAAAAAGTTTTGATTGCGAGCGTATCGCAGTGCGAACTTCAAGGATTACCAGTCACTCTATATTTGCATACGACTGAAAAGAAATATTCCATTTTAAAAATACATAAAAAACTTACTTGAACAACGTAGTACAGTGTAAACTAATCTTTAAAATACATTTTGTTTGATAAAAAGGAATATTATTAGATCTATTTCACAACAAAATACGATGATATGATATCAGCAAACTGAAAGTTTCATGTATTGGCTCATATATTTAAATTCAGGTAAACAATAGCTAAATCAAAATGGGACTTTCTATGAAAATATGTTATGGTTAAGAAATAGAAGACATGCAACAAATGGACTTAGCTTAATGGCATTAGCATATCGTTTTCAATTAGAGAACATTTCAAACATCAGAGCTGAAGAAAAATTAAAGTAAGCTAATTCAATTTATTCATCTACCTTTTTTTTCAGAGAGAAATAGATTTCAAAGTAGATATTACTACAATAAAGCCAATTCCGAACAATTATAGCAACACAAAAGGATATATATATATAACCTACGTTTTTATTTTGTTTTAATGATTATATAATGTATAAAGAAACGTTGGTAATTTCAATTTTTTTTCATATACAAATATTGTCATCTTTTTACATAACGATTTCTTAGAATGGAAATATCGAAAGGAAAAATAACGAGTTAAACGAGTTAAAAGTATTTATCAACAGGAAGCATTAACAGCTTTTAAGGCTTAATTTCTCAATGAACTTTAATAAAAGCAAAATAAATATAATTATTATTCAAGAAGCAATCTTCAGTCCTATTCTTTTTATAATAAATATTGTTTTGTCAATTTATTTATTTCAAAGTCATAAGTTAGTGAAATGGTTTGGAGGCACGGTGACGTATTGGATAACGGCTCAGATTTGAGGAGTCAAAGAGGCGAGTTCAAATTCCAGTCGAGGTCGTTACATTCACTTGCGTGTTACGTTTAAATGACCTTGAAAAATGTCTGAATCTATCTCTTCTAGCACTCCACCAACCCTCCAGCTATGGGTAAATAGCAGGACAGACTGGGTTCTATAGCAACTGGTCTAGAAGAAGAACAATTCTGAATTCATAAAGTCGAGGGACGTCGTTTGAGGTATGGACCGAGGGCGATATACACCATATTCCGTGTTCTTCAGCTGTCGATCAAAATCTTGGAGAGGAGATAGGCACTTCCAAATCTACTGAAATTAACAGAGGAAGGAAGAATCAAAGCAATGCCATGACAGATCAGGATGTACTTTTTTTTTTTCTTCTGCTCGGCGGTAGGAGCAGTCAAGTGACTGATGATGAAGTTAATAATCTTCACATAATAATAATTATAACTTATTTCCTTTCAACAGATTTTTCCGAATCGATTTTTGTGCATCATACGATAGCTACAGAAAATATATCAATGTCTTGTAACTATCAAATCAGTAGTAAAATACAAAATAAAATTAATAAATTACATTAAAATTTCCGAAGTTTTTTTTTCGTTAAACTAATTTAAAAGCAATTGTTCCATTTTCTTTTCTTTGAGATTTTCCTTGTGTTTTACAGACACAAAAAAGGCGACCACAAGCTTCCGAAGGTGAATACTATCAACTGTGTTAAGATCTCTGTATAGTTTCAGTCCATGTACTCAAGAGATATTAGTTATTAATATATATATATATATTAGTTATTTATATTCGGTTCTTTAAGAGTTGTATTGGTCATATAATATTTTTCTTTTCACAAAATTTACAGAGTAGAAGATATATCTCTGAATGTGTAAGTTTTCAAAGTAAATCTCGTCAGAAATATCTCAGCTTTGATAATATTCAAATCTGAAGCAACAGGAGATAAGTTTGTTTTCTAGACGCAGAAGTGCGAATCAAATGATAGCAACAACCGCCAAAACCTTAATGATGTTAATTGAGAAACCTTACGCAAAATGAAACACGTTTTAAAAGAAATAGTAAGGCGACCTTCAGGGAAGGAAAAGTCCTATCATGATATATTATTGGTAGGAAAATAATGTTAATAGTTTAAGGTAGCAGATGACGCCATAATGATGGCAGACACAAACAAAATCCACAGGAAGCCCTACAGAAGGTAGCAATGAAAAGCGGGAAGAAAAGAATAAATTAAAAGAACACAGAATATAAGTTTCTTAAAAAGAGGAAAATTTCATCATGCAAGCTGTGAATTGGAAATATCAAAATCCTGACATATACAGAAATTGAAATATCTTGGAAGTGTTATAAAGGATGATGGAAAATGCGACACCGAAATGCAAAAGATGCTTTCTAAATGCTAAACATGTATTTTAAGTATTATAAACGGAATTTTTTTTATTAAAAACTAAATGTGCCGAAATGTTATACAATATCAATCTTCCAATATAGCAGAAAATGCTGGACAAATTCCTCACAGAGGAAAAAAATTGAAGCAACGGAAGATCGCTGAAAATACCATTGTCTGAATAGCGGAGAAACGAAGAAATTTAAAAAAAAAAGAAAAAAAAAGAAAAGGATATCCTTAGAATCAGAGAGAGTTGAAACTTTGGGGGTAGAGAATAAGGAAAGAGTAATTGGATGAAAAACAGTGAGAATAGTTAAAGGATAAACCTTGCTGCAAAGGATAGGAAGTTGTGGAAAGCCATAATCATTAATTAGTAGAATGAATTTTCTTTCTAATCTCCCTTTTGGCGCTCGGAGAAAGAGGAAGCAAGGCATAAGTATTTATGGTTGCTATTTTGGTTTTAAATAAATATCAACATATCTTCCGGTTTTTTTTTTTAGAGAAAATCGTTTTTTAATCTCTATCTTATATTCAGGTAGTCTTTTCCTAAAAGCAGATTAGTTAGTAATTTGATTATGGTCGGTTAAAAGATATTTATCATCTCAGAAGTGCGCATGTCTCGCATGACTAACTATAGCATTAGGATTAAAGAGTCTCAAAAGATCTGATACATCTTGACTACTTGGCAAATAAACGCCAGAAAATGATCTTCAGGTGTGTCAATATTCACTGCGCGTTTCTTGTAACGGTAAGGAAAACTAAACTTTCGCCTTGAATATTCACTGATATATTAAAAATTATCAGACGACTTTTTTCTTTTTTAAAATTATTTAATGTATCCAAAATACGAGAAATATAGATAAAAATTATTATTAAGACTAGTAGCAACATTATAAAGCAACTGAAATCAAGACATATTAGTTATAGACACAATAAATTCTAAGTGTTCATTTAAAATAAAGTTCATGTTTATCTATGTTGCCTATTTGTGTTGGTTTACAAACTTTAATAATAATAGCAATAATAATGTGTATTAAACGCTTAGAACACCACTATTATATATACTATAATGATGACAATGATATTAATGACGATAACGACAATAAAATCAAAACAAACTACAATTATGAAACGCTAACAACACCAGACAATAATTAAATGCGATATAACTTTTGAAAACTCAAATTAAAAAATTCAGAAACGTGCGAATTGTAAACCAAAGGAATGCAAGCGAAATCGTGACATCTCAATTACGAAATCTATAACGACTAAAAAGTTAGATGAAATACACGATGCCCGGTAAAAAAAAGCAGTAAATTCAGAAAGACGTGAGACAACCGTTAAAAACTGATGACGACGTTGATCCACATGTCAGATGGTCTTTGTAAATTACGATCATTTGACGCTTAAATCAATGAGTTGTTTATGTGGCGAGAATGACAGAACAAAAGACGAAAGTTGCCTGCAAATAACCTTTAAATAACAAGTTACAAGACCAAGCATCAATTAATCAATCATAAAAGAACCAATAAAAGTTAAGTCATTTCACGAGATTCGAATGATTATTCAAGTTTATGAATATTTAATAAACTTGTTCAAGGTTATTTAAGGTCAATTATTCTTGAAAGATAAAACAGTGATAATAAATTCACCGCTTTTTTAGCGGGAACACTGTAGAAACAATACAGGTAGTTGTTGAATTATAAAAACGGAATGATAAAAATGCTATAGTCACATTAATAACAATCAAAGATAGATTTTTTTTGCATGCCAATCGTTAACATAAATTAATCACAACGGAAAAATAAGAACGCAGTCTACTAGTAAGACAGGGCTTGAACGTATCTTTCGTGTTATTAAAAAAATATTCCCGATAAGTCAAAAAGAAAATAAATGAGATTTGTAGGAATTGAATTCAATAACGCGTCTGTGTTTCCAGCCGTAGATTTCTGAATATTCAAGGAAAAGCCGTTTAGAAAAAGAGAAAGGAATTGAGCCGAGAGACCTAATCATAAGTGGAGAGTAACTCAAGTGGAAGAATATTCCAGTGATTTGCTGTCTTCAATCTTTTTTGATGTAGATTTATAATAAAGTAGACACTACTTGCTAAGGTATTACTGCAATTTTACTCTTCTGCTGGCATGCCATAAAACAATGCAAGCAAAGTGAAAATATGCATAAACTGTAAGCTCATTTAGTGCCAATAACTAAATAATCTGATGTAGACGAATGCTCTATTTGGGTATGGAACAAATGGAAAACAGAGCAGCGCAAAGAACGAGACCAGCCAACTAAAGACATAATTAAAATTTATAATTTCAAATAATCATTATAACTCCAGCCGGTTCTCAATTTTCAATTACACAAATTGTAATATATGCAGTTAAAAATCAATAAGGGAAAGCATATAAGATTTAATTTGAAGACACAGCAATCTGCCGGAAAAATAGAAGCAACAAGCCAAAATTGCTGCAATTATTTTTTAATAATTATTATTATGAATATAAATATGCAATCGTCAAATTCGTGGAGAAAAAAACAAGGAAAAGGCAAAGAGAATAGAAGAAGTAATCGAAATAAATATATGGAATATTGAAGACGAGCCAATGGAGATAAAAAGTCAAGAAAGAAAGAAAGAAAGAAAGAAAGAAGAAAGAAAGAAATAAAGAAAGAAAGAAAGAAAGAAAGAAAGAAAGAAAGAAAGAAAAAAGAAAGAAAGAAAGAGTGCGATGAATATTCAACCTGAAGTAAAAGTTCAAGAGAGAAAAATCAATATGTCAAGAAGAAGGAAGAAAATAGATAATGACCATGAGGGAGGAACGAAGAAAAGGTGGAAAGGGAGATAAGAAGAAATAAGAAAGATAAAAACGATAGGGACGAAAGAATCAAGGAATCAAGCGAGAAGCGAACAGATTCTCAAGAATGAAAGAAGGAAATGAAAACGAGAGAAAGGTGAGATAAAAAGGGAATTTAAACTGGAAAATCAAAAAAGGATAATAACAAGAAAGTGAATAAGTGTGAAGAGGAAAGAAAGTAGGAAAGGAGGTAAAAGGAAACCAAGAAGAAAAAGATAGCATAGCGAGATGAAAAAGAAAGAAAGAAAAGAAACTGGAAAAAAGCGAATATATAACAACGAAGAAGAGAAAAAAAAGAGAAAGCGAAAAGTGAGGAAAAGGAATACACTGCAAAGAGAGAAGGGCGAAAAGTGAAAAACAATAAAGAAGAGGAAATATATAAAGAAGCGGAAAGGAATCACGTAAAATAAGGCAACACATGTGAGGATATCATGGATGAAGGAAATAAAACAAAGAAAAGAAATATGGAAGAGAAGGAAAAGGAAAGTCGAAACGAGAAAAGATAAGCAAGCGGAAAAAAAAGGCGAGGAAAAAAGGGCCAGTAGAAAGAAAGAAGGTGGGAAGAGAAGAAACATTAAAAAAGAAACGAAGACTAAGAGAAAAAGGAAGCAAGATGGAAGAGAAAAGATAATGAGTGGAAAAAGATAATTACGTCAACATCTAAAAGGAAGAACAGTAATGAATGAATGCAAGAAGAAATGGCCTGTGAGAAGGGACTGCAAAGGCGGAGGAAATAAGGAAAGCTGAAAATAGAGACAGGAAGAACAAAAACGACAGAGTGGGGACAGAAAAAAGGAGAATTGTGAGACTATAAAACTTGAGTTAAGCAACATGACAACCAAATGGTATAGAACGAAAAGAAAAAAAAAGTCAAAAAGTTATAAGGAAAATGGAAGGTTTATTGTATTTTAGATATTGTTCTATTCGAATTCTCCTCGGACACGACGCAAACAGATTTCATCTGATTGAAAAATCATATGATGAAAAAAATGACTTGGAATGAAAAAAGTCTTTGTTTCATTAAACAATATTTCCTTTTGATAGGAGAAAATGGGTTTTAGATAAACATTCTAGAATTTTTTTTGTTGCCAGCGACAATAAGATAATTTATAAGAAAATAACTAAATTTCATCGTCTTTAAAAATAAACTAAATAATCCGCAGTAAAATTTATAATATGACATTGTTGGAATCAAAGCATCAGTCATTATAGAGAAATACATATATCTATATTTCTTCATATACAAAATGTTATTTATTGATTAAAATATTAGTTTACATTAAACAACTGAATATAGTATTATTGTGGGAACCTAACCTACCTACAAATGGACTTTTCCACACATATAATGTGGCTACCAAATATGAGTAAGGGAGAAGTCACCAGGTGATGTCTGTCGAACTCTCTGTTTTGGCAGAGAGGAACCCGGACGAAGCTTTGCCGAAGAGCAAGGTTTCGTCCGGGGAGGTAGACAGGCCGTGAACCCGTCTAGGGTTCTCATAGATCGTTGAAGTTAAGCAACGTTGACCCTGGCCAGTATCAGGATTGGTAACTGCGTGGGAATATCAGGTGCTGTAACTTTGGATGTGCAAGTGGTGTAATGGATTTCGGCTTGGATTGTAAATCAGAGTGCCGAGTTCCAATTACAGTCGTTTTCATTATATTCACTTACGTTCTAATTCTTTTGGGAAAGGCATGAATCCAACTCCTCACAATTAATTAGTAAGACTTATATCATTAAAAATCATTATTATCCCACCACCAGAATATACTTAAAAATCTAAAAATATTTTCTAACCAGAATAATAACCAGAAAATCAACCTATCCACCGCCCTTAATTATTTCCACAAGTTCTTCAGCAGAATTCAAAACAATAATTATAGCACTAGGTTTCTCCACAAACTGATAGTTCAGAAAGACAATGACATTATGTCATAAATACATATTTGAAACCAGAAATTATGTCCGGATTATATATCAGTTGAAATGCCGTTGTACATTGAAAATATAACAATTTTTACACCTGAGAGCTTAAGCTGAAAAGTTTTCAGACCGATCAAGAATTCTTCCGGGATTCTTACCACACTTTGGAAAATAGCTTTCTCTGCAAAAAGACTATATTCAACATTAATTTTTGGTTCATAAAGCAGTTTAAAATACAGAAAAGCGTATGATTAATAGAATTTGTCATGAATATAGTATTTCATAATTTTGCAGTATGGAATCCTTAACATTCTATCAAATTCATCTGTCTTGGGGGAATTTATATTTTTTTCGTTTTTGCCTTGAAAAAGTCCACATTGGGCGAAACGCGACAGCTAATAATACAGCATTCATTTTGTGTTTTACCTTTAATAATATTGTCTTTTTCTACAGGTTAACTCTGAGAAATTTTTTTATATATATATATATATATATATATATATATATATATATATATATATATATATATATATATATAATTAAAAAAAGAAAGATGTTCCAAGTGTGGTTCTTATGTTGATTAAATAAGCAGTTTAATAGAATTTGAAGATTAAAATTGCAACAAAATAATAAAAATACTGGCAATAAGATTGATGATATTTATTATATATTAGCCTTTTGACAAAATTGAAGCCCGAATAGAAACATTTTAGTCAGAAATCTCCCCATCTCGTTGAAAAAGGGCATTCCATGCCCGAAAATTCCATCTTTATAATCCTTCTCTTCGTGCTTCATTTTAGTTAAAAGTCCAATACATAATAAACATTATCAATCTTATTACCAATATTGTTATTATTTGTTTTTTTTATTCCCCAAATTTTATTCACCGGCCTTTAATGCATATATATATATATATATATATATATATATATATATATATATATATATATATATATATATATATAATTTGCTTAATAATTTTGCTGTAAAGAGAGGAACATCATAAAATATGACAGCGTGTTCACTTTGAAATATTTTAATTGATGAAGTAAATGTTTAAAAATTTTCGGGCCCGCCAAGGAACGTCTCCAACATAGATTCTGATGCTTGTTTTTTCTTCAGATTTTGGGCAGTGGTTCATGAGAATTTCTAAACGCTTTTTCGTACACCGAAAAATAATCTTAATGTCTAGATCCTTCAATTTATATATTTTTTTTAACTTTGTCTACATTCAGCCAGACAATGATGCCACAGATTTTGAACACGCTAACTTATATATTTGTCGAAAAGCTTTTTCAACGAAGGCATACATTTTATTAAACAATCTTTTTCGAACTAATCGTTTGAAAATTATTATCAGTAAGCTGCTTGTGTGTTAATGTCACGTAACCTAATCTCTTTCGAAGCTGGCAATTAAAAACATGTGCTAAAAGTGAAATTGTAGACATAACTATATTTTGTTGACTATAATTTGCAGACCAAAGTAATTCTAATGTATTTCACTGTATCAATTGTAGATTGGAGATGATAAAGCGCACACGACTTGAATTTGAATGAAGTTAAATTACTTTGGGTTTTACATTACCAAGATGAGAAAATAAATTTATTGCTTGTACATGAGAGCACATTTTATCCAAATAAAATTGCCATTAACCATTTTCACCAAAAATATAATAAATCTTTTATATTAATTGATCTCTTAGAGTAATGCTTATTGTTTTATATTAATGTCCGTTGTTGCTGCCTTTCTGAATGCATTGGCTTCTCTATTTTTTAGGCTTTCTGATAAGTTATCTGCTTTACATTTATATGGAGATTGTTGCCATAAGAACTGACTCTTTTAGCTTATGTATATTCTGTTAACTCCGGTATTACAGGTCGGACTTCGGTGCCAAGAAACACACCCTGAATTCGAGAGCGTGCCAGCCACTGCAGTAACCTTCTTAAAAATAATCCTTCAAATTCACAGTCTATAGATATTAAAAAAAATGATGATGTAAGAAGCTATTTTTACTGCAGTTTGTAAAGATATGGCATTTAAATAGGAATAGAATATTCTATTGTGGATAAAAATTTGCTGTGGTGGATTTGGACGAGAATGGAGAGAATACATTTTGTTTCCATACAGAATTGTATAGGTTTTTCTAAGTCGACAGTATTGAATAATGCAGTAATATTGAAGAGAGGTTCCATATCTATGTCACATTCCTTAATTTCCAACGGTGGTATGTCTATTCCTAGCATCTCATTCCAACGTTCAATCATTAATATGATCCTGAACCTTTTTAAGAACTTTTAAGAATTGAATTTATGTTGTCCGCTAATTCAGTTTTTCGAATGAAGGGTAGTATCAGATGTAAGAAGGGAAATATTTTAAACTACTTAAAGTATTTCTAATGCAACTTTAGCTTCTAGATTCCTACATTACTTTACCAATAGCTTAACAGACATGCATATGTTAATATTTAATCCTATATTTTATGTATTATTTGTGTTGAACTTTTTCATTATCTATGTCAAAATGCAAACCTCTCCATACATTCCTTCAAACGTTTTGATACATATGTTATTCATTGCCACTAATATATCTATATTTTCTTATATAATCGCCAGGAAGCTTTCGTATGCATAAACGGATTAACCTCAAATCGAATTGTGTGTATCGAAAATTTGAAATACGAATGAGTGTAATGTGATTAAACGAAAGTAAAGCATATTTCGTTGTCGCCCACTGAAGATTATAGAGATGAACTAATGTCCTGCATTTCTTTTGTTCCATATTTCAATATATTGTATACTTAAACAAATCATAAATGTGACAAGGATGACGAGATCAACCTTAAAGTGTCCACTACGAATATAGATACTTTATTAAGATTGATAATCAGTTCGCCTGGAAGTTATTTTGCTTCTTAATCCTGAGACACAATGACTCTGACTGGTTTATTCTGTGAGTTTATATGACCAGAGTAGAAATAGATTGGGGCAGAGCAAGGACATGAGAAAAATAGAATTCTGACAGTTATTTTAACGGCAACAACTAATGCAGACAAAAGTGTCGGAATCTACCTATAATGATATCTAAATATAACACAACAATGCCATATGTGATTGTATTAAGTACTATGTCGATTTTCTCTCTGCCAGATTTCATTTTGTAAGTTAATATTTTATCTGATATTAGTGACGTTTAAAAATATACTTATGCTCGCCTCAGCTACAAAGTTACTTTTAGTGGATGTTTTATTACAAGCTGATACATTCGCAGCCTTAGAACTAGAAAATAAAATAAACATACTACACAGAATATTCAGCTATAAAATTAAAATAATCTTTAAAATCCAAATGCATAATACCACATCTGGCTGCTTTGAAGTTAAGGGGATGGTTAATTTCTTTCTTAACGACTTTGAACTTCTACAGACAAAATATCATACTCCCACAAGTTGACGCTTAGGCTGGAAGAGATACTAGTGGATGAGGAATTCATGAGTACACAGATGACTCCGTGAGTAGTGGCCATCGTGCCTGCAGTTTCACTATCTTTATCTATGGGTAATATAGATTTAGTTTCTGTTTTTAATATCTAGCCTTATTATATTCATTGGAAATGTTTTATTTTGGGTGTGTCAGGTCTTATTTTGCAAGCTAAGAGAAAAAAACATATTTGTAAGTAAATCTAAAAGACGTAGAAAAATAAGTTAAAACCAAAATATCCAGTAAACCTGATAGTTATTGTCATTATTTTACATATTAATACGGACGCCATGACATATATGACAATTTATTGATTTTGTTAGCTTCTCTAGTTTTTTGTCTTACAGCAATTTTCATGGACTTCTTTAGTTTGCTGTTTGTTTGAATTGCTTTCATATTTATATTTTTAATGAAGAATTACAAGTATTCTAT